AAATCGGACCATTTTGCTAATTTGCAACCAAAAGGTGAGCGAGCGTAGCGAACGAACGAGCTCCAACCTAAAGGTGAGTGAGCGTAGCGAACGAACTTCAACCAGGACGTGATTGAACCATGCGATCGAGGTCATCTTGAAAATGAACGAGAATTTGACATAAAACCACATTAGGACAGGACGACGTCTGTCGGGCCAGCTAGTTTCATATAAATTTCTAAAAGCTTATTCATAATTAGTTTTTGATAAACTACCAAGTTAATCCAGGAAGTAAGGAACTTATATGGGAAGTGTAAATAATTATATTCTGGTTGTAGTTTTACTTTACAATAGTTTATTATATTTATACACAGATAGCATTATTTTATTAATTATTACTGACCAAGAAATGTGATTGTTTTGTTGAGATGGCTTCTGATTCTGCTTGTGTGGATCTGATCATTATAAATTCCTTGCTAAAATGATGTAATCTTGCAGTAAAATATATCTTGCATATATATTTGAGTAGTAAATTGTGGTGATTTTGGTCGGTTTCTTGTAAAAAAAAAGGTCCCCGGAAAAAAGTGGCATCCATAAACTGTGCCATAACAGTAGTCAGTGGTAATTTTCTTTAGTACATTTATGTCGTTGGGAATATTTCTGTCGTCTATATTGATTTTATTCCTAAAAACAAGTTTAGTTTCCTAAAAACCACAAGTTTGCGTTATTAGTTTATGTTAACCTAAATAATTCACTGTTCAAACTAAGCTAAATGACTAAATAAAACGAAATCAATACAAAATATGTCAACTATCACCATTCAACTCTACAGATTACACCTTACTACGGTTATAATTGTTTAAAAATACAGGATTTACAACAAATACTGTATATCTGTATGGGCGTTTATACGACGTGCGTTTGTACAGTACAGTGGATTGTCGGATTGCACCACCGTGGTTCGGCGCTCGCTAGTGTGGTGACATGCTTTCAACCGCCATCGGCGCTCTGGACTGGCGACACTCCGCTGTACTGCGCTTATTGAAGCGTGTCCTCTCTATTTATTTATATTATGTGCTCGTTGGTTTTTGTTCGATGTGATGGATCCTATGATCATTCGATCATTCATTGATCACTTCACTGATCAAGAAGAAGACAAGACAAGGTCAAGCCGAAGCCACAGACTAGGGTACTAGGGAATAAAAGTTTTAGTTATTATTATAGCTCAGTGATGAGGAGGGGCTCTTAAGGAATCAGCGTAGATTAAAGATATTTCAAACGTGTAAGTACGCCTACTGTTGATGGGAAGAGGGGGTTTTTTAATTACTCCATTTAGTTTAAAGCAATATACAACAACAAACAACAACAACAAACGTTTCGCCAATAAATGGGATACCTATCAATAACTAAGCCTACAAGTATAGATTCTGACAGTAGGTAACTTGGTACTAAAAATAACAATTAATTCAAATCAAATCAAATCATTTTACAGAAAATATATTTACAACATTGGCATGTGGATAGGCGGATCAGTCAGAAAATTCTGGGAAAATGTCTTCAAAAAATTCTTTTAGGGAGTAGTAGAAGGCTCTTGACTTGAGTAGAGGGACCAGCTTCCTTAAGAAAAGCTTACGCTCAAGCTGTTTGATAGAGTTGGGCAGCTTGTTATAGATTTGTAAATTGCTCCTGCTTCTGGGATCTCACCAGCCTAACCCTGGGCACATCAAGCAACCCGTGCTGCCTAGTTTGGTGGTCATGAACCGCTGAACGAAGTTGAAACTTGTCGCAGTGGTCATGGATCAGCAGTGAGCATACGAGGATGCAATTGTTATAAACCGTGAATATCCCCAGCCTTGCAAATATGGGTTCGCAGTGGGCAAGGCGGTCAATAAAATGAAATATATCTTACAACACGTACTGGATTACTAATATATCTTTAACATCAGCGGCATGACCCCAAAGTAGTAGGCCATAACTCACATGACAGTGATGGAACATGGCATGATAGATGTTAAGCAGGTGTATAATATTGTTCAGTAATAAAATATCGCAGCTTGAGACAGCACACCCTAGAAAGTTTGCTGCGAACATTGCCTATGTGATTGTTCCACGCCAATTTCCTGTCCAGATGAAATCCAAGGAGCTTAACTGGTTCATTAGGTGGGGCATTTCTTGACAGACTGCAGACCAGAGTGTCTGGGTTTTATCATGGTTGAGCTGAAAACCACTTTCTTCAAACCAGCGGGATGCTACGGAGAGATGTTGGTTGGCATCTGCAGTGGACAGCTCAACTTGGGTCCCCCGTGACACCATGGTTGTATTGTCGGCAAAAAGCACAACCCCTCCATCTCTATCAAGGTCATTGCTGATAATTACCAGGAATAAAAACGGACCTACAATATTGATCCCTGAGGGACACCATACCTGACACTCTTGGGCTTGGATGCTACACCCTCCACAGAGACAACCTGGTGCTTTAACCAGCCAGATAGGAGTCAATCGTCTTCAGTGCCATGCTGTATACTCCCAAACTCCTCAATTTCCCATGCAGAAGATTGTGGTTAACACAATTGAAAGCACGACTCAAGCCACACATCGTGAGAGTCACCGTGTCACCAGCCTCGAATGCCTCACCAACCAAGTCGGTCAACTTCTTAATCGCACCAGTGGTGGACCTCCCTTTTCTGAAACAATACTGCCCATCTGATATCTGTCTATCTCCAAATACTGTGTCAGTTGGACTGATATTATGCTGGCTTCAATAACTTTTCCCGAGAAAAGGCACTATGGAAACCTAGGCCTGTAACTGGCAAGAGATTCTCGATCGTCCTTTTTTTAGACTGGCACAGAGTCCTTAAGGTCTTAAAGGCATTGGGGGGAAAATACCATTTTCCAAGGAATCATTAATAACTAATTAATAATCTCCAAATACTGTGTCAGTTGGACTGATATCATGGCTTCAATAACTTTTCCCGAGAAAAGGCACTATGGAAACCTAGGCCTGTAACTGGCAAGAGATTCTCGATCGTCCCTTTTTTTAGACTGGCACAGAGTCCTTAAGGTCTTAAAGGCATTGGGGGAAAATACCATTTTCCAAGGAATCATTAATAACAGTGGCCAGAGGAGCTGATATGACATCAGTAATCTTCTTTAGCTAAGATACAGACATTCCATAAAAATCTGGACTGTCAGAGTTTTTAAATGTTGAGACAATGCGCAAAATCTCTGCTGAAGAGGTAGGTTGCCAATGATGCAGGGTAGAAGTATGCAAGTCCCTTCCGGCCTCCTGCTGGATGTCTCTAACAGGTCCTAGGCTAGTAACAATAAACAATGTTGTTCACAGACTCAATAAAAACATCATTAAAATCATCAGGGCTGGAAGGTAGCTGATGACAGCTGGTAGTTGACCTCACCACATCCCATGCAGCCTTGCATTGATTTTTAGCTGATTTAATCATATTCACATTACCTTCTTTTTTAGCCTCGATAATACGTGTTTTATAGGCTTGTTTTATGTTATGGTAACCTTTTCTGTCACTGTCAGATTTGGACAACATATACCTATCTTTCAAAGCAAGCATCGAACACTTAAACTTGGCTAGGTGGCTGAGCTCTGGCGTAATTAAACCAATCGGAATTTGCACTTATCCTAATCTGGCTTGTTTTTTTGGGTTTGATAATGGCTTAGCTGACCTTACAATTGAAAGGAAAAACACATCTAAAACATACCTTAAATTCACAAAAAATGCTTCAAATAATGCATGCCACCCAGGAGAAGTATCTAACCACGATGTTACCAAGGGCTGCTCTGAATAAATCCAACTTATCAATATCTATTCTTACACCATAGAATGTATAGTTAGTACGCCAAGAAAAGAAGGGACTTATTAGTATACAGCAATTACTAATTCTAATATTAGTAATATTTACAACAATTACATATTAGAGCTTTCAGAACATTTTTGAGGAATTCTTTGACGCTGTAAGAGGTTATACATATACTTAGCAATTTATGTTTTAACTGTTTTTTGAATTTTGAAAGGCTTGGTTCTAACGGGATAGCTTTTATGCCATACGTACAATGTGTGTTAAAAAAAATATTTTTTGGATTTGGAAAGTTAAATGAATTGCGCATAATGTGTATATTGGTTTGTAGTAGAGAAGTAAATCAGAAAAGTTTTGTTTTAAAAAGGTCAAAGAATCTAGAATGTATAGATGGAGGGAAAAGGCAAGATTTTTGTATTGAAAAACTCTCTGCAGGAATGACGCTTACGCAAAGGGAAAATAGTTCTCATCTCATATTAGTTGTGCCTAGGGTGCTGACCAGGGTCAAAAATGGGCATGAACAGTAATCGTATTCTAAGAAAAATCTTTGACAAAAAGTTAGTGTCACCAGCAGTATTCGATTGGATGTGTATAATACCTCGTGAACACCAGACGGGACGAGACGAGCTTCTAATTTGTTGGCGTTGGCACCCCCCAAAAAACCAATTGCCCCACACCCTAACCCTAGTTACGTGCCTACCTTGCCTTTTCGGTAGTTCTTCTTAACTGTACAGTACATCTTTTGTTAGAATTTGAGGCATTAATTATAATTTTATTTTATGAACAGAACTATTTTTTCGATTAGTAAATCTTTATTAGATTTGTATCTTAAACATTACTATATTTTTTATGTCGGCAAGTTTGGTCAGTTAGGTTAGGTTATGACAGTTAAAAATTAACTTTATAATAAAAAAAATTTAGTTTATGATTTTTCTTAAAACGTCGTGACGTAAGGGGCTCTCCCACAATCCTCCACTCTCCTTCGCAGAAGAGGTTCTCATCGGTTTCTGAAGCAGGACCCTGAGTCAGTTGTCAGTTCAGAGTTCTGTTCTCAGTTTCAGTTCCTTCAATCACTACGACTACAGTTCAATCTCAATGTTCGATCTCGCTCGATCCTTCAGTGTTTGTCGTTGTCGTAATGTCATGTCATTATACCGCCAAAAGCTAGCAATTAAATGTAATTGTTGACATTCCGAATCTCATTTTATAAGGCTACTCGTAACTTAATCCACCAGAATTCAGAATCTTGTGATAAGTGGTAAGGTAAGCAGTTTTCATGATACGGTAGCTTAAATTTATGGACCATAAAAAAATAATAAAAAATACACAAGTTAGTGTATGCAGTTTGGTAGTTTTCTAAACTTCCAGACTAAGAGCCAAGTAGGCTAACCTAACTTTGTTAATTGCATCTGACATTTAAGTCCTAATTTTATAAAAAAATAAATCTGTTTGATTGGTTTTAAATGCTTTAACTTGATTCTATAAACAATTTTACAGATTCCAATGCTTCTATACTTTTCAGTAGGCTATACATGTCTTATATGTTAGATTAAAGAGTAGAATGCTAGTAAGTTAGCCTATGCAGGGGCCACTTAAGTAAATGGGCCAGAGCCTGGCCCAGGGGCATGATTGGGTTTAGGTTTGGGGGAGCAAAGTAGATATAATACCAGAATATGACCCCACTTTCGGCGTTTTAGAGGCACTTTTAGGGCACTTTTTATAGGGGAAAAATGAGAAAAAAATGGAAGAGCTTTTTTTGGCCACTTTTTTTAAAGACCCAGCTCTCGACCTATACACCCCTATATAAATTTTCTACTTTTGTTAATACTAAAAATCACGTCTGGAAATGGTGAGCTTTTTATGGCCACTTTTTTAAAGACCTGGATCTCGTCCAATACAAGCCTATATAAATGTTCAAACTCCATTAAAATTTCAAATCCACATCCATTCCCATGTATATTTTCAAAATCATGTGAGGTTTGTGCGTTTGGCTCATGATGTGCTCCCTTGGACATCCTTAGTGGAAATCCATGAGTTCTGGCTACTTGGGAACCCAAGCCATTTGACATACAACGAATCACCCTTTCTCCTAATTACCTTCTCTACCAAATACATGTCCTTATACTTGGTCTTTAACAACTCCTCTGTATAGAAGCCTCCCCTGATTATATTGCCATTTTCATCTTTCAAGATATAAGTCACAGGCTTTGTATTCTTAACTTCTGCTATTGTAAATAGTTCCCCTGTCCAATTTGGAGTATAACCTTTACTAAAAACATGTTTATACTTGGAAATCCTTACGCTATCACCTACCTTATATCTTGGCTTTTTAACTTGCACTACTTTAGAAGTCAACCTCTCATGCACATATTTACTATTCTTAACATTCACTTGGTTAGGCTTCATTCCTATAGATCTATGCACTTTATTATTATATTTTCGAATTAACTTTGGAAGTAAATCCAACCATTTATAACTCCCCTGAGCACTAAATTCTCTATATAACCAATTCTTTAAAGTTCTCTGAAACCTCTCCACAATTGCAGCCTTAGTTGTAGAAAATGTGTGATAGTGATTAATATTTAATTTTTTCATTAGTTTGCTAAAATATTGATTAAAAAATTCTTTTCCATTGTCAGATTGAATGTTTTTAACCCCCTTTGGTAGAATGGTTTTAATGGCTTCTGTAACCACTAACCCTGTCTTATTCTTTAGTGGAGCAGCATAAGCTTTTTTAGAAAATGTATCTATTAAAGTTAAAATATATTTATTGCCAGAATTTTCTCTAGCATAGTTTTGCATATCAACTAAATCTATTTGTATGGTTTCGTTTATACCCAATACTTTAAAAGACCTTCTAATGAAATTCTTTCTTGCAGGCTTATGAAGCTCGTATGCAATTTCATTCATTTTTTATAACATCATCCTTTCCTGTAACTCTAAATACATCACCATTAGCCCCAATCAATAGATTATCTTCCATTCTTTTAAATACATAGTTTTCTGGTATATATGGTCTATTATCTATATACTTAAATCCACTCAAAGATGTGGGGTCAGCAACTAATAAATCAGGATTATATTCCATCAAATTAAAATTTTTTTCTCCATATACAAATTTTGATCCATCGTAATGCATAGATTGTGACATTAGACAAATATCATCCAAATGTTCCCCCTCTGGTAGATTTCTTATAAATTGTTTTTTGGCATCCCAACATTTTTCTTTTTTATCAAAAGTTATAGTCTGTTCTTTTATAACACAGTCAGTGTCATCAATGGCAGGTTTAACACGTACTAACCTTTTACTATTAAAACTCCAATAGCCTGCTTCCATTTTTGGAACTTGTGAAACATTCACAGCATCTTTACTATCTGTACCTTCCATCAAATTACTAATTTTCTGTTTCTTTGCATTCCAAACACCATTCTCTGATTCTAAAAATTCATAATTATTATCGTCTTGTACAAATTTACCATCTTCTTTTCGTATTAAAGTCTGTTGTAAAGTGGGCACATCATCTAAACTTTCGCTCTTTTCTACATTAGTAATTTTCCGTTTCTTAGCATTCCAAATACCATTCTCTGATTCTAAAAATTCATAATTATTATTGTCTTGTACAAATGTACCACCATCTGTTCGTATTAAAGTCTGTTGTAAAGTGGGCACATCATCTAAACTTTCACCCTTTTCCACATTAGTAATTTTCTGTTTTTTAGCATTCCAATTTTTATTCTTAGATTCTAAAAACTCATATTTAGTTCTACCTTGTAAGAAGACATCACCTTTTCTAGTTAATGTCTGTCCCAAAGTTGATACATCATCTACAAACTCCCCATCTTTAACGTTACCAATTTTACGGTTTAAACCATTCCAACTATCGTCTTGTAAATTTAAAGTAGGTTCACTACTAGCCCTGGGTTCTGCAGGCTTATTATATGGATTATATAAACGATAAAATTTATCTATAAACATATTTTTATTTAGTAAATAATTCCACTTTCTCTCAATTCCTCAATAATGGAATCTATTTCATTATCCACTCCTGAGTTACCGGCTTGGCGACTTAGCCAAAGAAGTCTTAACCTATCTACAAGCTCATTAGGATCATCCCAATAAATATAGTCTATTTTATTACCAGTCACTTGTCTCAAACCTTCACCAACAGACTTAAATAGAGGTTTAATTATATTAAGATATTTAGTATGTCTATTACTTGAAATTGGTGCACCATCTTTGTAACTCTTTAAATGTCCATTTGTAGCTTCCAAAATTTCTTTATAATTTTGCAAATCAGCCGGAGTATAATCCTCAGGTTCTTTTAAAGTTAACAATTGCCACAAACCTTTTGTCCCCTTGTAGGTTTTATTTGCAATTGTAACATCATCATTGGCAATGTCAACTTCCTTATTTCCAATAAAAAATTTATTTGCTTCTCGTCTAATACCATATGTAGTGTCTGTCATACTACTTTTACTGAGGTAATTTCCTAAATAGTCTGATGCTAAAAGACCAAAATCTAATTTCTGTGGGGTGGATTGCTGTAATGGTTGTAATCTTGGTATTATTGGTATTCTAGATGGAGTCATTGGGAGAATCTCCATTCGAGGCCTCTCTGTTTTGGCGATTTTTTTTAATTCTTGTAATGGCTCTATTAAAGGTTGGAATGTTTGAAACCTCTCTTCAGCCTCTAGAAACTTGCCACGTTTTAAAGCTCTATATTTCTCTCGTATTTGATTTGCAGAGTCAACCAATTCTTGTTGAATGTTTTTCATCTTTTATTTACATTTTATTTATCTCATTTGACAAAGGATTGTACTCAAACACTTTATCATGTATTATTAAACAATATGCAGATGTATTTGCTGGTACATTTTCTGCAGTTTCAATCTCTAATTTAATATCAACAATTCCTTCCTTCACTGTTTCGTTCTGTCTAGAACAGTCTATTACAATTAGTGGATATTTCTTCATAAACTCAGCCCTACTAATCATAGGATCTGGGATAGTATTATAGTAAGTCTCTCTAAACCTCATAAACATCTCATAAGCTTTAGAGACATCTCCATTTTCAAAGTCGAGATTTAAATCACTATAAGGATAATATTCAGAGTTTAGAAATACTTTGAGATTTTTTAACTTACAGTGATCAAATTCATCAGTTCTTTTTCGTGCACTATTATCCCTAGCTGTTTGGAAACCAAATATAATATACCTAGGCTTCTCCAAACTTGAAGATGTCTTTACTGACCATGTATGTCTTGTAGTATTGGGATATGATGGAAGTTCATGCAACTCTAAGCTTCTAAATGCAATTTGCAAATTTTTATTTTGCAATAACATCTTTTGTAATTGTAACTTCTCCCCATCTGATGGTATTACATGTGGCATCACCCATTGAATTGAGTTAAGTATAATTTTGGGAATTGCATCAGCAGTACCACTGGCTGGAGCACTAGTGGTTGTTAATATACAATTCAAATCATTTTTGGATCTTTTCAACACCAATTCTTGTTTGACATTTACTAATACCTTATTAAAATCCTCAAATACACCCATTAACAGTTCTAATGGCAAACAAGTACTAAACTTGCCACTTTTATGGAACTCTTTTAAATTCGTGTCAGAATCAAATGCCACATTTGACAATTTAGTTGTTTTATTGTAAGAGCTCAATATTTTCATAAGACTAGAAATTCCTGGGTTTCTTACAATGTCTATTTCTTTACCTGCGACTTCATATCTAATTTCATCAAATAAGAATGCAAATGCATTATTTATAAAATGACCTTTATCATGATTTTCAATTTCTCCCTTAATATACAGATAACTCCTACATGGGAGAGTTAGCAAATCTTGATTATTAATACATATTCGAATTTCATCAGAATTATTTATTGCTAAAGTGTTATGGGGAACATAGGAGTGATTTGTAATTTTAACCACACTATCGTCGAATTGGGATTTCCCTGTAACGTCTAGAAAATCTTCCATTTTTATTAATAGAAAATTTTAACTTTAGTCCTATTGATCGTAGGAACCTAGCATTTTGTATACTTATAGATAAATTCTTATAAATTCTCATATCTTTTTTATATGACAAGTAATTGTAGTTTCTTCTCCATTAAAGTCAATTGCCTTGTCATGCTGATCGGCAAATGTAATACTGACAACATCTAAACTTCTCTTATTTACAGGAAAATATATAATATTTCTTGGAACTTCAATAATTTTGTAGCCAGGAGGAGCTTCTGGAT